GAAAGCATACTGCCCGGTGAAATACAGACAAATTAGATCATGACTTTAATTTCTCAGAATTGAATGAGGATAGCAGAGAACTGGAAATATTGATTATTTAACAAAAAGGGAAATTACATTTATTATTACAGTAGTAAACCTGGTACGAACAATAATGCATTTATATCAATATTTTTGTCTTCTCTAAATTTACTTTAATTCTGATTGGGTATGACTTTGATGACTGTATGTGTGTGGTCTTACTTCTCGTAGTGCGTGTTATAGAGCTGGGTGGGAACTTTGAGGACTCTGTCCAGAACGGCTGCTGCGTTGCTCATGTTCCCCTGCTCCTTCTCCCACTCAACATACAGATCCCAAAGCCGGTCTGAGTGGAAGTCCAGACCTGCTGCCACAACGGCGTCCTCAAACACACTGAGGAGGGTAGAGAGAGGAAAACCATCAAAACATGAACACAACTATCTGTTCTGTACCAAATTTCATTTTAAGTTTATTTAAGATCAAGGAAAGGTTAAACAATAGTGGATACTGAAAGAGCTGTCATAGACAGCTAATAAAGGAAAGTATACTGGAGTTAATAGTGTAGTTTATCTGCTATCAACACCAGCGAAGTTATCCTGCTAAATGATTTTGCTGATATTTCTAAGGGAAATTGACTTTAATAAAAGCAGTTTACTAAAAGCAAAACAAAGGGACTCTTGCTCATCAGAAGCAGCATTTGCATTTCCTCTTATTTTTCTCTTCAATTTTAGACCCATGTGCTTACTGTGCTGTGCTCAGCACTGGAGGACCTAATTCATTGTAAACTGTGGTGAACAAGCACCATTTTTTTAACATATAAGGAGTCAAAATCCAGCTTTCAACCTTTCTGCTCTTTCAAAAAGAGGACAATTACAACAACAAGTCTTAAATGTGTGTGTGTGTGTGGGAGGGTTTGTCTACCTGCGAATCCGCTTTGGCGACTCAGGCAGGTTCATGTCCAGTGTTCCCAGCAGCAGATTGATGTAGTGAATCCACAGATCTACACTCAGAGGGATAGCCTGGAGACCCTGAACACACACCTAACACAACACACCACAGCCATTTATACGAGCACATAAAAACACTTCTTTAATCCTCTACATAGTTGTGTTGGGAAGAAAAAACGCAAAATTGTCAACTCTCATTCTGTTTTACCTCCTCTGCTTTAGCGTTGTACCCTGCACGGCGCTCCAGATCAGCAAATTTCTTCCAGTAGCCATAGCAGAGCGGGTAGCGAGCGAGAAAGGCCACCAGAGCTCTGCGTGACGCTGTGATGTGACTCTGAACAGGTGAGAGAAAATGTAAGTCCAAATGTCGCATGAGGCTACAACAAGCTTCCTCACAAAGCATGTTTTGTGGCCTCATGGGGGCGCTAGAAGTCAATGTTTCAACAGTTTGAGGTGGTAATACATCATTACTAAGTAACAATACAATGGGTTCCTAAGCTGGTTTTTTTTGTTTTGTTTTTTTTGTTTTTTATCTAAACACCACCTCTTCTCTGCTGTTTCTTCACACACCTCTTGCTCGCAGTATTGCAGGAGGTCAGTCCAGCTGGTGAAGTCTTGAGGATTGTCATGGGCGGCCTTCCACAGACGCTCAAAGTCAGCAGGCAGTTCGCCCTCCTCATCCTCTACAGCTGGAGGCATGGAGAAAGAAGAAGGGTCGGGAGCCACTGGAGCCTCAGGGGCTGCGCCGGCACTGCCGTTCTCTTCTGACATCTCGGCCATCTCAATTGGAGGCGGTGCTGGATCCTCAGAAGCCTCCATGGCTAAAGAGGGAAGAAGATCAAAGTTTAATAACTCAGATAAATCTCCATTACAAGCTCCTTTTACACCTCAAGATGTTTTCCCATATTGCCGGACATTTTCCAGAAATCTGTGACATGAAGTCATCTCTCGTCCCGGAGCAACCTGACTCACACACTACCTGCGTGAAGTTTTTAATACAGACCATAGAATTACAATCAAAGATTATTTTTATTACTGATTAATCTGTTATTTATTTAGTCTATTACAAATTTCAAGAGGTATTGTTCACAGTTTGCTATTTTATCCAACCAACAACCCAAAAAACCAAAGATTTAGATTTGATTTACATCAGTAAGTTCTCATATTTGAGAAGCTTAAACCACTGATTGCTTACATTTTTGCTTGGTAAAAAGTTCAGCTTATACAGTTAAACTCTAGAGCGGCGACTAAAAATTATCATCATCATCAATTATTCTGCCGCTTGTTTTCCTGATTAATCGTTTTTGTCACAAAAGAGAAAAACCAGTTCCTCACAGTCACAATTTCCGAAAACCCAAGTTGACATCTTCAAATGTCTTTGTCCAATCAACAGTCAATAGAAACAATAGAGCTTCAGTTTACTATCACACAAGGTAAAGAGAAGCAACACAGTTCAGAAGCTTAGTGAATGTTTGACATCAAATTACTTAAATGATTAGTCTATTTTTTTAAATTGTTGCTGGTTACTTTTCTGTCAATTGACTAATCGATTAGCACTGTTTAACCTTGAAACTATGAAAATTGTTGTTGATGAATCTTTTTAGCACTTCTGATCATGGTTGACAACAAGACAATCACAGGTTGCGCAAGAATATAAAAGCCTGCCTTCACACAACTGTAAACTGATCAATCAGAACACAATTTCCAACACAATACAGTTTTTCCCACACAACAATACATGGCTGAGAACAAAACAATGACTTTAAATGACTCAGGTTGCTGTTGTCATTTTTGTACCCTACCTGCAGTGCATGCTGAAGCACTTTCCTTAAACCTCCCTTGTAATTAGCCTAATCATCATTGTTTATGAGGTGTAGTGGTGAAGAAAAAAAACTAAAACCTTTGTCGCATCTCTACTATAGCACTGGACGTACTCTTGGGTGTTAGTTTAGGTGGGTGAACACACTTCAAGACAAAGCTACTTAGAAAATTTCCTGTGTAGGGAAAAGGCATTGGCCAAATGAATGTAATGTATGTAATTAATTAACTTTCCTGTTCCTCTGCTTCCTGGTCACTTTCCTGGAAAAGGCCAACAATAACAACTGTGTATGAAAAACTCATTTTGCACTCACACATGCATTGTAGTAAACTAGTAGCAGGTAAAGTAAATGAATGAACAAGAATTTAAGCAGAACTCTGACTGTCAAATTTAGCTAAAATCCAAATACTTCTTTTATACACTGAGCAGTCAAACCAGTTACTCAGCTAAACACGACAGTAAACCTGCAGCTGGTGATGCACACCGGACTAAAACATCCAATAAAACAAAAACAAAATCAGTAGTTCAGGGCTTTTATTCGAAACACACCCCTGTCTAAACCTGCACAGGTTGATTTCATTCATAAAAAGATCACCGTTTAGGCTCCAGTATCTTCGGGTTGTTGTGGACCTAATTCAACTAGTTTGTGATGAAAGGTGATGAACACCTTTGTTAAACTCAGCAAGGTTAGTTAAAGTTGGTTAAAGTACTTTCACAGATAGGTTGTGTAGCTGAAATCACGTTAGCTTAGCCTAGCTTCTCACGCTTGCCCTAAAAACAGGTCCAGCCACAGTCTTTACTCGAAACGTCTGGACATGAAAGCAGAGCACAGCAGTAACTGTAAAATGATACAAACCGGCATATTGTAAGATTCACACACGTTAATCAAACTAACCTGAAGAATCTTCGAGCTCCCCGTTGCCGCTCAGCTCCTCACCGCCTTCGGCCGCCATGATGGAAAACGTATTGCTACGTCACTGAGGCGCGACAACAAGTTAATGAAAACTACAAAAAATAGTAATTTGGAAAAAAAGTTGTTGTTTTTTATAGGGACATACAATGCACTGAACACTTGTTTGTACGAATATGGGCTTCTTTGTAAACTGTGGCGTGATTTAGGCTAAGTACTGTGCTCAGTTACAGGCGTGAGGTACTTTTTACTATTAGGTACTACTAGGTACTTATTTTATTTGTACTTCAATTTTCTGCTAATGTATACTTCACTCCACTACAATTTAGAGACAAATATTCTACTGCTTTTACTTCATTTATTTGATAGCTTTAGTTTCAACTTACTTTGTAGATTCAGATTAATAATAGAGACTATTGTAAAATAACTAAATAAAAACTGAGGTATTATTTTAAGATAAAATAAGACGTTATTGATCTCTGTTGGGGAGTCCACAAGTCACCCAACAGTGTATAAAATAGTTAAAATTACTCCCCTTTATCAGCTGGAACATTAAAGTGGTGAATTATACAATTCAACAATTATAATCCAGTAATAATATAATATTCATTTATCTAAAATGAGCCATTCTGTGAAATTAGTACATTTACTTTTACTACTTTAAGTATATTATGATTCACTGTGTATTGCTACTTTTACTTTATTAAAAGGTCTTTTGAAGAGTACTTTTTCCACCTCTGGACATAACAGATTTTTCCAATAACCTGATGATTTGGAAAAAATATATATATATCAAGCGAGATTTTTTCAAATGTCCACTGTACAAACTTCTTGTACCTCCTTTTGTTTTTTATTCATTCTTTTTTTGTAATTTGTAACTCGATATATTCTGCTGTTATTGTGGATTATTTGACTAAATTGAGCTCTGTCTTTTTAATTGCATGAAAAGTTTAATTTGCTGTGGTAAAAAATACAAAAAACAAACTCATATGTTTAACAAACTGTAAATGTACGTAAGCCAAGGAGTTGTATATGAACTGAATGAAATTGTTAAGCGCTTCCTTTTAAGGGGTACTCCTAAAATCTGGCAGAAATCAAACAAACTTATATAAAATGTGACAAATTAGACACATATGTTGTGTATTTCCCTAAGGACCCATTTTCATGTTGTACAGTCTAATAATACACGATAATACTCTTGATGTTTAACCAATTGTTGATTTTTTCAGATCTAAACAATTGTCCAATCTAGTCTTGATGTTCTAGAAGAACTCATAAAATATAGAAAGACACTATCAAGTTAATTCACTCAAAAGCAGTGATAATCAGAAGCTTCTTTTACATTTGGTCAACTTTATTTTCACTTGGTCTCATCTTTTAAAGTACATCTGACAATGTTGATTGACAGCTGAAGTCTGTTCCTTCACTTCCATTTCCACCAGTTCAAGCCATCACCAACAAAACTGCAGCAACGTACATTTATGATCATAAAAACAATCAACGAAACAAAGTCAGAACAACAAAATCCCTAAAAAAGGTCAGATGATTTGACTAGACGGGACATAAACCTGAGTCTCCAGAGAATCATTTGAATATTTTTATAACTGCTCAGTGTGCATTTAAGATTGATTTTCATGTAAATCAGAGGGCTTTAAATGGATATATGCAAGTGAAATACCTTTTAAGGATAGGAGGTTTGGATGCAACCTCTTCAATAAGATCCAAATGACACACTGGAAATCTTGGACTGTCCCGACAACTAGTAACACATGAAAATCTAAACAACTTTTATTTTCTCACTCATCCTCAAGTGCATTAAAAATAATCTAGTTAACGATGCTGGAAAAAGAACTTGATAAAATAAAGAAAGCACATCAACAGGATGATCCACACTGTCAGTGGTTCAGTCCCCTGAAGTGATTCCCACTGCCAAGTCTGTTCAAAAGAACAGCTGATAATCCCCTCTGTGCAACATTTCAAGGACCTCATCACTTCTATCATGAAGCGATGATAATTAATCAATTCCATGCACACAAATTGATCACTTAGGAATTATGGTAGAGGCTAAACAAGAATGAACTGGCCGGGATTGCTGAGAAAGATGATTACTTCTTTACATTTTGCAGAATCAGGAAAATTACGAAACTGCAGGATAAAAGTTTAGTGCGGAGCCACAAAGAAGATTGTTGGCAAGCCATCCCCAAATACATGAAATGTGGCACAAGTAAAGAAGGTCTAGCTCTAGCTCACTTGATTGAAATGCTTGGCTTACAAAGAGGGATGGAATGAATGTCTGATGAGTTTCAAGTCAGAAACATATAGAGGGAATCACCAGCAGGTGGAGCATGTGCTTTGAGTGTGAACCTTCATTTTAAATGGCAAACAATGGCTCCACACTGATCTGATTTTTCTTCCGAGGCAGAGTGGATGGAAAACCAAGCAGACGATAAAACATAAACAAAAACAAGTGCCTGAATGTTTTCTTTCTTAACCCCAAAGATTCATTACAATGACATAATTTGAGTTGCTCAGTTATCTATCTGAAAAAATGTGACAAATAATTATCTATCTAATAGTAACCCTTTTTGTTAGGTATTACAGTGTGACTGAACACAAGAGGGACATGGCAGAGACGTTATGTGGCTCAGTATGACTAACAGGTTTACATGGATTTGGGTGTCTGTGTGTGTCTGTGTATAGGGCTGAAAATTGTGTGTATTTGATATCCTTTGAGTGTGTGCGTGTGTATTTGTCTTTATTTTCCATGATGGTTATCCTGTCTTGCTTTAGTTAGTCTTGAGTATCAGCACCCTCCCGCCTCTCTCCTCCTGTTCAGTCCACTTCAGTCATGTTTTCCTCCTGCTCCTCATTTTCCGTCTCCATGGTTACTGAAGCATCACGGTCCAGTCTGCCCCTGAGTTCATGCCAGGCTTGCGGAGTGTCAACACAGACATGGAGGCGTCAAAATCAAACTCTATCTGGCTCTCTTGACCATCTGCAAAAGGAAGAAGGAGAAAGTATTAGACAAAGCAGACATTAGAGAAAGCAGATAGATTCTCATCCAAAATGTAAAATCTCTTATTTTTCATTCAGACAATCTTTAAAAATTAAAAAAAAAAAAAAAAAAAAAAACATGGGATAATAAGATCTTTGTAATCCTGAGGGTGCAACTTGATTTGGCTCAGTCAGAAAACAGCACCCACAGGAAACAGCACCCACAGAAAAGCCTTTCCTGTTTTCCTGTTACTTTCATACTTCAAAGCTGATGACATTTCTGTGGTATAATTTAGTGTAAAGGTTTTCTGCAACCACAGGAAAACCTTCCCTGTGGTTGCAGAAAACCTTTACACACCACAGAAATATCATCAGCTTTTGAAGTATGAAAGTCCAGACAAAGTTTAGTTGTGTTTCAGCTCAAAGGCTGAGCAAAAACAATAGCTACTACAATTTGGGGAAGTGAGTTTTGGCATTAGTTAGCGTGTTGGCACATGAATTCTTAAATCCCGAGAAGCCAAGAAGCCACCTATATTAACAGATTTTCACACCAACACCAGTTGGAATGCAAGTGTTATTGGATTGGCACTCCAATAACAGTGGTGTTGGATTAGTTACAACATCACCTGGTTGTTTGCAACACTGCAAAGACCAACACATTCTACATAGAGAATGACATTAAAATAAAAAGAAAGGTAGATTCAGTTCCACGCTACCTTAACTATTAGAAAACCATCAGAAATTATGCGTATAGGACTCACCAGCAGCTTTAAGGGTAACCTTGCTGGGTTTACTGGCTCCCAGTATGACAATGCGTTCAATCCAGGAGCGGGTAGTAAACTGGGCATCTGGAGCCAGGTTACTGTGGACCAAGCAGAGACATGGTGGTCATGGTAGGTATTACAATACAAAGATTAGTTCCTAGTAATAGTTCACACAACTCAGCGACAATGAGAATAGAGATGAGATGAAGTGCTGTTTTTCTTTGCCATTATCACCAGAAACCAGCATCTGTCTTCAGTTCTCTTACTGTGCTTTTGTGTCTTTATGTTTTGTGGAATAACAAAGCAGTGTTTACTACTGAACTGAAACAGAGCATATTTATCACTCACACAGAAGAGAGGATGTTGTTGGCGAAGGACAGCCTCCTGTGGATGAACTCCTTCTTTTCATAGTTGAACGTGTGGCCGTCGTCAATGTAGAGCTCACCCTCTGCTTTTCTCTGTCAGACAAAGAGGACAAAACTTCAAACATGACAATTTGCTACTTGGTACGCAGCATGTCAAAATAGCAGCAGTTGACAGTTGTGTCTTGGAACTGGCAGCAGAGTGTGTACACTTGAGTTACCTGCGGGTTAAGAGCCACATATAGAGTGTAAGGATCGTGCTCCATGCAGGAGGAGGACCTGCGAACTCGAAGCTTCCTGGGAATAATGGAGCCACCGCGCTGGAAAACTGGGATCTAAAGACAGAAGGCTTCATGTTAAAACCAGAGAAATGAGAGAAAATACTAACTATTAAAGGATGTGGAGGGCCTTCTAATGTATGTGTAAATTATCGCCACATCATTTCACACAGACGTAGTGCTGTATGACAGTACTATGTACATCTCTGTGTGTGTCTTACAGAACTCATGGTGACAGGGATGTAAAGATTCTGGGCCCCGTTGTGCTTCTGGAAGGTGTGGACATCAAACCAGACCTGAGGAACACACATAAAAAAAGCTTGACTAATAACAAGAACAGCCAAATCTGCAGACATGTTATTGACACAATGTCCTATAAAAAAAAAAAAAAAAAAAAAAAAAAAAAAAAGACTTTTCACCACAATCATTGAGATGAACACTGAAGTTCTGCCTGAAGACACCAGAATGATGCAGTAACTTTAAGATGCATTTAAACTCTTGTTTCCACCTCTTACCTCGTCTTTACCAGGCAGGTAGGCGGTGACTCCCCTGGCTCCCTCCTCAGTCACTGGGTGCACCAACAAATCTCTCCCTGCAGCAGAGTTAAGTAACTTCAATGGAAATGTAACCCTTTTGAACCATGTCTGCTTCACCGTCATCACTGATTTCAAGTTTTAGTTATGGTTTGTCCTCTTGTACCTCAGCTGTTCTCACAGCAAACAGGCCTGATTCAGACCTAACACATGCCAACATTATGTTGCAACACATGCAACATGTTATTTGTGTGCACTGAGCTGGAGAGTGTCATTTAATTTGATCATCGATAATTGGAGGCAACAGAAATTTCCAGTTAAAGAAAACCCAAGTTTTTGAGTTTTGTTTCTTACCGATCAAGAACTCGTCATCCAGAGCAAAAGTAGCAGGATCCTGAGGATACTCCACCCACAGTGGTCTACAACAGAGATGCACATGTGAGCAGAGCAGAGTAACATCAAGGAATCCTCTGGGTGAGCGTGACCAACATTTTCACACTTACTGACAAGATAATTACACAATTATTTAGTGTAATGGAATATTGTGCACAAATATAATTCAGATTAAAGAACAGATGTTTGGATTTTATATTTCTTTGTGTACATTTGTCAGTGTGCCAGAGTATTTTCTATTCCAAATTATGTAAATACAGCTTTTACGTCATTACTTTTTATTCATTAATCATAAACATGAGAAAATATCTACTTTGAGATTTAATGGCAAAGGCTTAACTTCATCATTATTATCGACAGAAATAGGATGGTCGCGTGAGGCTACATCAAAAAGCCAGAGGAAAATATTCTCTAGTTAGACACCTAAACCAAGCAAGTACTTACATCTGGATTTGATGGATTCAACTAAAACTCTGCCATTTTGTTGCTGATTTTCAGCTACAGGCAAGTTATCATGAAAGAGACACAAACACACAGTCTTCCCTGCCCTGTCCTCACCTCATGACGGGCTGTCCAGTGCGGTGTGCCTGGTAGAATTGCTGGTACCAGTAGGGCATGAGGGTGTAGCGCTGGCGCACCGCTTCACGGATCAGCGCTGTGTTTTCTGGACCAAACAGCCAGGGCTCGCGGCGGGGGGTGTCCAGGTGGGCGTGTGCCCTGAAGAACGGTTGATACGCCCCCGTCTGGTACCAACGCACCAGCAGCTCAGTGCTCGGGGACTTGAAGAAGCCACCAACATCAGCTGTGAGATGGAGGGGGTAAATGTTAGGCAAGTCTGGGCTGACAGAGGTCAAAACAGACACAACATCCACTTAAGATCTTGTATTTTTTTTTGAGATTATGAATAGACCTGAAAGGGAAAGTGTGCATTTCTTTTATCAAATCAGTTTGTTTTTTTGTTTTTTTTAAATGCAGGTGCAGTGTCATAAAACAACTGATCTGATCATGAATGAAGTTTCAAACTCTCAGTACATGACACATACGGGCAGCATAACTGTTCAACATAACTGCAGCTAGATTACACAGAAAATCTGTGCTATCACCATGGTAACACGTCATGCAGTTTGTCAGTAGGTGTTTCCATGACAACATAAAACAAACACTCTGGGGAGATCTGTGCCCATGTCAAATTAATTCAGAAAACAGATTTTAACACAAGAATTTTCCCCCTGAAACCTGAAACCTAAAAATTGCTCACACAAACAAAATCGAACGATTTAAAAAAGCCAACCGAAATAATCTTAATATTTTGTTCTTCAAAACAAGTTGGTCATTTTACACTGACCAAAGGGACAAACTACCAGATAATACTCACCACCGCAGAAAGAGATTCCAACCAGGCCCAGACTCAGACACATGGGGATAGAGATCTTCAGATGGTCCCACTCAGCAGCATTATCTCCTGTCCACACAGCACCTGCAGACAGAATAACAAATTCTTGGTATTAATGGAATTTGTTTTCGATAGTAAGCTTTAATCTAGTGTCATTAAAGTACTAGTAAATTATAAATTCAGATCATTATTATTATTATTAAAAAAAACCTTATTAAATCTGGACTAAACTGAAAGTGTAGTTTGATCCAGCAAACAATGAACATAAACAAAGATGACTGTAATCAGCACAAGAGAATTATTAAATGTGCGATGGCAAATTTTCATTGTTCCCAGGATTAGAGTAAAGTGATTTGAGGTTGCGTTTAGAATGAATAGTAAAAAGCAGTAAGGGGCTCACCGTAGCGTTGTGACCCAGCAAAGAAGGCTCTAGTCAGAACAAACGGTCGCTCAACTCCTCCCGACCTCTGGATCAGACCCTCCGCTGTGGCCATTTGCTGCAGGTTGTATACATACAAAATCAGTGAGGCACAGTGGGTAATTTGCAGGGGTATTTTAACCAACATCATCTGATTGTTAAATCATACTTTGAGTCTCTTTGAAAGAAGTTTGTGAACAATGTACAGTATAATCATATCTCAAAGACTACTACTTGACTACTATTTAAAAAAATATTTCATTCCCTCTGTAGGAAAATGGTATCAGAACATCAAGGAAAAGTACAGTAATATATTTTCACCTGTCCAGAGTTATTTAATGGCTACAGGTCATTTCATTTTGCTGATACATTGATTCATGTTCATCTCTTACACTTACATAACATTACTTACATTCATGCATGAATACTCAACCAGACTAAAAAACACGAGGATGAAACACAAAGTCTAAATTATTCTGAGTTCAGAAAAACGTTCAACAGACAAAGCCACAGAAGAATTGCATGCGCTCACCACATAGAAGCCATAGGTGTTGTGCACATCACGGTGCTCCCAGGCTCCATGCATTGCATCCTTGTGCATTGTGACCTCTGGCCCATTAAAGACTGACGGCTCATTCATGTCGTTCCACGTGTACAGGTTCTCCATGGAACCCTGGAGAGTGGACAGAGATTGTGGATGTAAATCTTGAGGCCAGGCCGACCAGAGAAAGAGCCTGTGACACTTGGTAGTTAAACGAAAGGTTTTAAAAGAAATTATCGGGGGTCATGCTTGTCAGAGAGTGTTCTTCAATAATTGTCTTGTCTCACAGAAAGCTGGCACACAGAGCAACAGCTAGCACGCTAAATCTTCAGTATCTCGATGTCATCAAGAAATCTCCTCGAGGCTCACCTCATACTGATCGTAGGCGAACATGCTGGCCCACCAGGCCCTCATGTCTGCACGGGTAAAGTCTGGATAGCCGGCGCTACCTAAAGCACATCATTCGTTCCCAGGGGAGAGAGGCAGAACAGAAAAGAATGTGATACAAATATGAATTGTCAGAATGAAGGTTTTGATCTTGATAATGAAGATGGCTAAACTTACATATAACTTTAAAGTTCATAAAGTATAGCTCTTAAAGTGTTTTCACAAAAGCATTTTCTATACATTTTCTGGTGATTGATTTAGACTTACCAGGCCAGCACCAGCCCTCGTAGTCTCCACCATCTTTATTCTTGATATAGAAACCCCGCGAACGGATTTCATTATGGATCTTGTAGTTGCTGTCTACTTTGATATGAGGATCCACAATGGCCACCATCTATAAAAAAAAAAAAATTTTGAGAAAGAAATTGAGCAGAAAGTGTAAAAACCTCTGGCAGGAAAACCCATGATGTGGATCCTAACACTGTCTGCTGGTACACTGATGCTGGATTATTTATCATCTGTACCTTGCGTTTCTTGTCCATGAGACCCTGCAGCATTTCCTTTGGTGTCGCAAACTTGTGTGGATCCCAGGTGAAATAGCGCTTCCCATCTGTGTGCTCAATATCAAGCCAGATGAAGTCATAGGGAATGTCGTGCTCGTCAAAGCCTGCATCCACTGACTGCACGTCTTCCTGGTCATTGTAGTTCCAGCGGCACTGGTGGTAGCCCAGGGAAGTCAAGGGAGGGAAGGACTGGGTGCCTGAAGGACAACATGAGAAGTAGGTAAGACAACGACAGGAGAGAAGGTGAGACGGAGGATGTCAGTGAAAACCTGATATCAGGCAGTAAAACATTTAATTTAATATAAATTAACTACATGAAATAACTACATGGTTTGTTAAAACTGGAGCCAATGCCTTTGTGTGAAATGCCTGAACCACCATTAAATAAAATAACTTCAGTATGAGGAACATGTTGAAAAGAAGAAAGTGCTACATTGAAAAGGAGGTAAAGAACTGAGCCTTCATGTAAATGGCCAGTCATCCATCTTCCTACCTGTAAGAGAGGCATACTGAGAGAAGACATCTTTGGGTGTTGGTCCAAGCATAATGAAGACATCGATGATGCCGCTTTCAGAGATCCAACGCACATCCGTCTGTGGAGTCTCACTGGAGCCCTGAACATAATCCAGCATTTTTCCAAACACCGTCTGGGGAGAGAGCAAGTGAATAAAGGACTGTGATATTCTACATCAGACAGTCATCATGGCCCTTAAAACAAACTATGATCCAAAAAGTAAAACTGGAATTAAATTCATGCAGTCCAAATGCAGGTGAAGTTCATTTGCTCCTGAAAAAGTTTCTGCAGTGAAAAAGACATACCTTTCCAGCTGTGTTGGAGCTAATGTCCACCCAGGTTTCAGCAGCATTGAGCCAGAAGATGCCTGTGGTCCGCTGGGCATTGTGGGCCAACATAACTGGGACGGCCCCGTACAGGGCCATAGGATTATACAGCTCATACTGGAACACATCCAGGTTGTAGAGCCGATATGGATCTCCATTGCTGGAATGCACAAACACACATGTCGGCTTGATTCAGTGCAGTGAAGACTATACTAACAACTGTGCATGTACCACCCAATGTGGAAGAAAAGTCAAACTACATTTTGAATGTGAAATATGACTTGCTGTTGCCACTTACTCTGTTGTTTTGAGCCTGAGGGTGTCTGCGTGTTCGGGGATGCCGTATACATGTTCCACACCTGGCAATGAAAAGTCTAAACTAACAGCAGATGGACCTGTGGGGTGAGAATAACCAATAATCATTCAGGGGGCGGCAAAGTAAAAATGGTCAGAGCAATTTTAAAGCTGAGATTTCTACATTTGTCATTTAGTTGATCTGAAAAACATCTATGGTACATAATATGGTACCGGTAATTACACCAAAATGACCCGTAACTGAAAATATAAGTATGACTTACCATTAGGTTTGCTGTCCGAGTGCGATTTAAATGTTTCCTCCCACATCCCGTCTTCTACTTTCTCTTCCTCTTCCTTTGCTGCCTGGCAGGCGAAAAGAAAGAACAGTAATTTACAGGAGGAGACTGAGGCTGGGAGACAGTGTAAAAATGGTGTCTTTAAAATAAAATAAAGAGGAAAATAAATTGTGCTGTAGTGTAGCGAGTACCTCAGCCTGATTAGCCGGATCAGCCTCTTCTTTCTTCTCGGCCTCCGGGTCTGCCTGACTGCTCCATGGCACGGAGAATGGAAGGTGAGTTGGGGAGGGGGAATACAGGAAAAAGACAGATGTGTCACTTTGACAGAATCACACCGTCTTGTGAAGAGGGACAATATATGGGAGTATAATTAAACTATGATAAAAAGGAAAAGGACATAAAAACAGGGAGGTTGGTGACTGTCCCCTGATTCCACACTGAAAAATAACAAGTACTCTACAAGGTGATGAATGACTTAACTTTAATGACAAAGGGGACTGAGCAACTCCCTACCTTGTGGCTATTTCAAGCTAGGCATCATGGGACAGGAGCTCGAGAGGCCTACACCTACAAGGCTCCTTAAAAAAGTACCAACTGATACCCAGTGGATCCGACATATACCAAGGTGTAATCCAGGCCATGGTGTATCACCAAAGACCCCTTCACACAAGCCCTGAACTGCAAAGAACTTTTGGTAGTCACACTCAGCTGTGGAAGTGCATGATCTGCAGCAGCACACATGCAAGACACAGTGGTGACAAAGATTTGTTTACTTTTGATCTCAAAAGAAGCACTGTGTTCTGAGGTAAATTGTTCCCAAATTAAGGAAATTCTTACACCTAGAAAACACAAAAATACAAACACAAGCATAACCACAAAGAGAGATGTTGCTGTTGGGTTTGGGAAGTGAGCAGCGATGCCTGCAAATAAGGCAAAAGCTATCTGGTGGGACACAGACTAGCTATGTGCGAAGTCAGAAATACATCGCTTTTCAACTACTGCGGTTAGTTCTCTCTGGAAACTGAGCAAGCGTGACAAATAATTACAGTCAACATAACTAGTCAAGAGACCCAGTCGGTCATGCAGTTGCAGGGTTAGATCAGTTTATCAGACGAGCTGCTGAAGTGACACTAGAGGTATGATTTAGTTAATCAGACACTGATCTGACAAGACAGTGGTGTACAGTAAAATCAGCAGACCCTACAGTATAATCTCCCAGTGAACGTGTTTTCTGATGATCAGGATGATTTTTTTTGTTTCATGAAATAAAATGAAAAAAAAAATCAACATCCATATTTTCTGTCAGTATCTAAATTATCCTTCAAAAATACAATGATGATAACAGTCAGGGCGATACTGAGCGCCTTAATTCTGGATCAAATCAAACAACGCCATGCACACACTCACCCACACTGCTCTCTTTCACGCTCAGTCACATTTGAGGGTAGATACAGAACGTAGTGTGATGGGATTCCCTATATTTTATGTCACTATTGGCAGCATTGGCACAAGGAACAGAATACACACTTACAAATCTTAAGGGTCTTTACCTAGTGAATACCCTCTTGATATTATCCCACACGCTAGCCACTGTGCTAGTTACTTTATAGGAGAAACTAGGATGATAAGGGAGAAGAGGACAGAACAACGAGTCAGAGACAATACTCAAAAAACAAACCATTTCATGGGAACAAAAATAGAAATCATCCACTGAGTGAGAACGTGGATTAAAAGAGAGGGCTGGTATTTGTAAGAATGCGTGGTTTCTCACGTGTCCTTGCGCATCCTCAGGTGCTCAAAGGCCAGCAGGCCGCGCGAGTTCAACGACATCAGCACTTCACGTCCCTCCATGATGTCCAGTCGGAAGGGTCGGGCACTGACGATGACCCTCTGAGACTCCGCGCCCAGGGACAGCACCACCCCGTTCTCGTCTTGAGACAAGAGAGACAGACTGAGGCAGAGAGGGGAGGGAGGGAGGGAGGGAGGAAATCAGGGTCAAGAGAGGATTTAGCTTTGTAAAAGAGAAGTGAAGACAAAAACTAAAAGAACTCAATTAGAGCTGTCTTTTATCATAAGTCTATTATCTACTCTAGACTGTTATTATACTCTACTGAGGCCAAACCAAACTTCAAGGTTAGAAGTTTCAAATGATTGTGAGAGATAAAGCCAGAAAGCAATTATATGAATAGGCTGGCTCTTTTTCAAGTGGCCTCTTTTGTTTCAGAGGAAGAATTTATATTCAGAGTTTCAGTTCTCACATTCCTGCCATCTTCACAGTTGAATTATGCACCAGGGGTACATGCCTCAACTTATACAGTAGAGCACATTTTTGTTTCCATCCATCTCCCTGTGAGTTACTTTATTAGGAGGTATTCATTTACTTCATATGCCGACGTTTTGATTTGTCATAGAAGGAAAACCTTGATGTGAGTAACATTAATGATGGCTCTGTTGCATTCAAGTGTCCCAGTAAGTAAGTCATAACAGTGTGACAGTGAGCCAACATGCACAACACCAGGACCTTGAAAATGAGGCAGCTAAATGGAATTCAGCCATCACTGACTTTTGTTTATGACTGAGTTTCTCCTACTGTGACATGTCAAATAAAAAAGGTACATTATCATTCTCTCTCTTCATATTGAAAGCGCTCTATGCTCCCCTATTTTCCCCATCAAAATGGAAGGTGTAGGAGAAATGTGTGGTTTTTGGCTGCATTAATGAAATTGACAATGGCAGGACTACAGATAGAAATTATTAATTTTGCCTGTTTTAGTTTAACTCTGTAACGTTAGAAACCTCCACCTACCCACTCACACCACAGAGTTAGTAACTCCAATGGGAGACTTACGGCTCAGTAGGTGGCTCCCTGATGAGCACGTCTGGGACCTCATAGCGAGGCTTCAGCGGCTTCAGCTCGTTAATCTTAACCCTTGTTATGTTTCCCTGGAGACGGTAGAGCTCGAGCAGCAGACGCACCTGAGAGCCAAACACAGAGAGGGGGGCAGAAGGGGAGCGGGTAAAGATTCAGGAGAAGCAAAGGAGGGTACAGAGGAATTCCATTATTATCTGATAAACACTAAAGCAGCAGTTGGCAAATGGGTTCAGCAAAGAGACAGTTTTTTTCTGCATAACACTTAGTTTGTCATGTTAGGCATTTGATACCACAAGGAAAAGGAAAACTGGTAACTGGTGCTCTAATGACACTATGTCAACGTTTACTGAAGTTTTAGTAAGCAGAGAGGTCATTCTGGGAAATGGGCTGAATATCCACTGTGGACCTGTTTCGCTTTCAGCTGACACTTCAAAAACGTGAGGAGTTTGTGATTTATTACACTGTGGGAACTTTTGAGAGGAGGGTAACTTCCAAAAGAAGACACCTTGCAAGACTTGATGTTAAACATTAAGTGCGTTATCCCACTGGCCCACTGCTTCCTGAGTCGTTTTTATGTGTGATTCACCTTGTTGTTGTCATTGATGAGCTGCAGGGTGAGTCTGGTGTTGGTCAGCTCCATGGTCTCCAGCAGAGCTCGATAGGGAGACTCACCAGGCTTCAACGCTCGCTGACGCCTGTTTAAAATTTAAAACCAAGTGTCAGTAACCATGTTAATTTTGTTGTTTTTTTACCCCCAGCAAAACTAACTTTAAACAAGTGAAGTATTATTGTTTTCTCCATCTTGCACTCACTTGCAGAAGGCACTCTGGTCACAGGTCTTGAAGTTGCCCTTGTCCACAGCCCACGTCCCACTGAGGCACACAGCCATCCACAGCACCAAGACAGGTGCCATCCTACAAAGAAAATCAAGGAGACAGCATAAGCTTTAAGATGGTTTGGCTGAAAGTCACCTTTCCAATTCATTAAGTCACATTTGATTGAGCAATACCCGAGCCAAACTACAGCCCGTATATAGGAGTTACACAAAAACACACAGTGACAAGCACACACCCGGACTTTGATCCCACTATGGAGGTAGAACATGTCTTCCAGTGAAAGGCAGCGCCAGAAAAATGTCAGTCAGCTAATTAAACCATTTCCCGTTTCCTCATCCTGCTGCAGCCACACTGTGCATATATTAACATTTAACAGACTGTCCAGAGTACCGTTTTTCATTTTATACTCTGAGTCTGCATACAGAGACTAATTCCCAGGCCTCATACTCCTGTTAGAGCCGGGCGATGTGATGTGTTTGACATGATGCCAAGAGACAGCATTAGCTAACGTATCGGCTAATGCGCGCTAGCTCGCAGGCAATAGGAATTAAATTATGTAAAATTGCAACTAAACACAGGCACTAATTATTTACGTGGCAACAATAGTGCATTAGTCTTTTATGGGCGAAGTAACACCCGATTATCTGATAGCGTTGTTGTCGTTATTTACCTCTTTGGATACTTCAGGATATCGTGCTAACAGACTGCCTGTCAAACCGCTAATTCAATTGAGGGGGATCTCGACTTCTCCGGTATGATTTCCTTCCTATCGACCGTTAAACCCCAAAACAAAAAAATCTGCTGACCCGTTTACCGAGTGTGCAGCCGGGGTGATAATCTCCGGTTTCCCCCGCACTGATAATGTATCAAACAAACGATAAATTCACGATGAAAGACCGGAACTGCTTTGTCTTACCTCTCAGTGAAGGAGGCCATCTTGATTATGCTCCCGCTTAACTCCGCCCATTTCACTCCGCAACAAAGATCGTTAAAAAGGAAGAGTCACCACAACGCAACGAAATATTTGTTGAAAAAAAAGAGAAAAACTTCGTATGAATAGATGACACGTCATCTCCAAGCTCCAGTCAGAGAAGTGCACACATTTGTCCCAGATTTGTCCCAGCGCTCACACTGGAATGACTTCCGACCAATGCAACGTTCAAGCTGCGGAAACACGTGTACAATCTAATGCAATCCAGCACAACAGCCCTGCAATAAATCATAACTTTGTGAACCCATAACCCTCATTACCCAGACCATTCTACCTCAAAAGCCAATCTTGTTATACACTATCATATTTACTTCTTTTTTTCCATAAGTGTTGGCTCTTTAGACCTTTAATCTGTTAATTTGAGAAGAAAAAAATATCACTATCTGCCACACTAAGGCCATAGCCTGTAACTGTAATCACATCATTCTATAGGGGGTCACAAGCAGGGTCTGGAGCCAATTTGGTGCTGAATTGTGGTGAATAATACTTTAAAATATTAGTGTTTTTTATCCCCCGGAATACAAATAATGGCAGGACTTCTGGAGGTCATGACCCACATAAGATGCATCTAAGGAGTTACAAGATGATAACCAGTGTCTAAAGTAAGAAAATCTAAATTCTGCTACATTGAATAATGTTTATTTTTCAGAATTTTTTCTATTGTTTTTTTCTTGTGAAAAACAGCAGTTTTATATATTTATTGTTTTCATTTATTTATATATATACTATTAAAATGAAACAGTCTCTAACAAAGAAAAAACACAGAAAAAATGTTGGAAACCACTGGCCCAGAGGATTAACAGTATGTAAAGACAATGGTAATAAGACTTGGTGATCACCTGAATCACAGTGAGTGAGTCCTGTGATGATACATTTTAGCGTAAACAAGGATGCTCAGGTCGAGACACATTCTAGGACCAAATGAAGATTTAATTTTGTATAGTGGCTGAAATAACAGTTTGTGAAGTTTTGAACATGAACAATCTGAAATTATACAAAACAAACAAACAATCTATAAATGGTAACATTGTACTTTCTAACTGAAATTACATATTAAGGCTGTCTTTTGTGGGGAGCAAATTCTATATCAACACATTATACATGTTTGTCATTTCTCTTGTCCCCTTGTCTTTCTTACAGAAACAACTTGTTAGAAAAGTTGAAAAATATGGTACAAAAGGTTCACACACACACACACACACACACACACACGCACGCACACACGCAGCTCTACTTGTGTGAAAATGTAGAACAGTTATAGCAACTTCGCAGTCCACTCTCGGAACAATGTAACTCAGCTTTACATCTATTTTACGGCATCTATTTATTCCCTGCCACCTGCTCTTCACGGTTCACCACCCTTTAGAGCTGGAACCGCCAGCACAGGTGTCCCAATCTATCAATGTTTTTATGCAGGACGCTGTGAATCGGTGCCACGTATCTTGCCACGTCACCGTCCCGAGAGAAATCCCTGCAGAACAGGCCCTTCTCTGAGCTGAAGACAAACTTCTGGGGCATTGGTCCATTGCCCCTCACATACTCCCACACAGCCAGGAGCAGCAGCCTCACCTCAAAGGGAGTAAGGTGGGGGAAGGCTTCGTGTACATTGGCCAGCACAGGAGGCAGGAGCTGGCCTTCTCCCATGCATGACACCAGGAGGCAGGAGGCCTGGAGGTGCCACGGGGAGTCTGTGGATGACATCTCACGGGATGCCTCCCAGTGGGCCAGCAGGGTGGCCAGGAGGCCTCTGAGCACAGCGGAGCAGTAGCAGAGAGCCGGGCGTCCAGCTGCCACCACCTGAAGTAGAGGGAAAAGCACCGGGTGAGCCTCAAAGCAACGACGAATGTGGATGTCTCGCTCCACCGTGGTGCGGGCATGCTCTTCTGGGGGCCAGGACAGCTCCCCGTTGGCCACATCCGGACAGACGTTTTCCACCAGTGTGACTGCTACAACCTTGGCTGCCTCGGCGTTGATGGGCGGCGGCTCGTCAGGGTCAGATGGGGGTTGTGAGCCGTTGATAGAGCCGTTGAGACCAGAGGAGCTGCAACACTGGACTACGACAGCCAACAGAGTCTGGATGTTCTACAGAGGGAAGAAAATGATGGTGACACGTTGACAGTCTTTTCTGCTACAGTACATCAAACACAAAATACATATAATCACGCTTACTATAAAAGTTCTACCGTTTTTAATCATTTTCAAGTGCTGTTGAGATAACAGTCAGGCAGGAAGAAATGAAATAAAACATACAAATCCATACATTTGTGTATATCTGCAGAGCTTTACTTCAGTGGACCGCCCTCTACCTCCACCCCAACAACATTATTTTTTTTCCTGTGAAGTGTTTGCCTGAAAATGTATTTTCAAGCTCTAGCTGTATGTTCAATCTGCACACATGGCCTACTTTAAATAGAAAAATAACTTTTGGTATACATCTACATTTTGCTGCAAATGCAGTATTCAACTGTCCAACTCACCTGGATGACCCCAGATGGGTCAGGCAGCTGTGTGATGGTGCGGATCTTCAGACCCTTGCCGATCACCCCGGCATGAAATACAGACCACACACTGCCAGAAAAGTTGACGGTGGTACCGAACCGACAGTTGATGTCCAGCAGGGAGGCTCCGAGGTCAGGGGACACAGAGGGGGAAGTAACAGGGGCCCCAGACATGTCTGCGATCAGCCCTCCAAACAGGTCAGTGTTGCCTTTATGTAACGCTCCCTCAACCAGCTGCTGAAGCACCGCCTTGAGAGTGAGCGGAGAGTACGCTGCAAAACGGGACAGGAGCAGGACTGAACAGTTCACAGCCTCACCTGCCTGTCCCCCATCCCTCCCTATCTTCCCCCCTTCTCCTCTCCTCCGAAGCGCCAGAAAGAAATGAGTGACAGCAGCACGGGAAAGCAGAAGCAGGTGTGCTGGGGAGGAGGTGCGAGGGAGGGGGCTACAGGACAGGAGACGCACTGTGGCGTGAGATACAGCCGGGTCACCGTGGAGAAGGAGTGGGCCAAAATCATGGAGGTGTCCTGAGACCGCTGAGCCCACCTGGATGGCCATGGAGGACTGAGCGCCCGCTGATCCTCTTCTCTCCTCATCCTGACTCTGGATGGCTGAGGCCAGGTTCAGCAGCAGTTGTCTCAGCTGCCGGGGCCCCAGGGTGTGTGTATGGATCTGGGCCACACAGCGAGCTACAGCGGCAGGAATGAGTCCCGCCATGCAGGAGGAGAGTGTGGTGTGAAGCTGCCAGGCCAGAGCCAGCTCCTCTGGGTTGCGGGCCTGGGTGAGTAGCTGGCAGAGGGCCTCGGTGGCAACGCTGGGACCCCCATACACTGACAGCAGACACAGAAGCTGGTGAAGCCAGAGGTGACGTTTTCTCTCCAGTCGTAGTGTTTCAGCACAGAGCTCACCCACATGAGACTGCAGCTCCTCCAAAAAGGGGATGACTCTCTGGGGCTGAGAGGAAGCAGAGTGATGGTGATTTCCTTCAACTACATCTGATCGGTTGAAGACCAGTTTGTGGAGATGCAGAAGCAGCATCTGAAGGAGGCGGTCACAACCTTCTCTGACTCCTTCATGAGGGGAGGGTGTCGGGCCAGAGATGATGACCGAGGCTGGGGTCGCTGTGTCTGCCAGAAAACGGAGGACCCGGGACCCTCCTGAAGGACTCTGGCTAATGAGATGGACAGCAAGCCCCAGCATATTATCCAGTTCCTCTCTGGGGAGGCCCTGCAGCAAGGCCTGCAGCTGGAGCAGGACAGGAGGGCGTAACAACTCCACCAGCTCTGCAGACACAGCACCAAAGAGGTTGGGAGACATTGCAGCCAGTTGTAGCAGAAATGGTACAGCAGCACGACGCAGCTGAGGGGAACTCTCCCAGGAGGTCGAGGACGAATTGGGAGAAAGAGGGCTCGATGGACTCAGGCTCTCCTGAAACATCCTGAGCAGCTCCTTCCTGATGCTGTCGGAGTGGTGTACTGCAAGGTGTCCAAGGATTCCCACCACCGAGCCAATCTTAGGCACTCTGTTGCCTTTATCCGCTCCCATCACCATTAGCCCTTGGTCCTTGGCGCCATGAGAGCAGAAGTCCTTCAGTCCACATGCCAAGACTCGGCTGATGATAGTACCCGGGAAGGCAGACCCAATGTGAGCCACCACCCAGTCGAAATGTGGGGAGTGTTGAACCGAGGTGTCCAACAGCGCATCCACACAGGCATCAGGGCACCAGGCCAGCATGGCGGCCAAACACTGAGAGTAGGCCTCCATGAGGGACCGGGTGGCAGCACAAGACATCCAGAGCTGGAGCAGTTCATTGAGGCTGGAGGAGTGGGGGGCCACCCTGCGGCCAGCGTGTTTGCTGCTCAGCTGGCCCAACAAGTCCACAGCCCAAGCAGATACCAGGGGGGCCCAGGCCCGGGGGTTGAGCCGGATGAACTCTGATAGCACGCCATGGACCTCCTATGGATGAACAGAAATAATTAAAACCGTTTCCTGAGGAATTTAACTGACCATTATCCTATATTTCTGAGTGATTTAGAAACCTTACATGATATTGGGCTATACAAATACACCTTAGTTGATTTTGCATCTCTTCAATGAGGACTTACTGAAAATGGCCTGTAAAGTTTAATCTTAATTAGTCTTAATAATTTCATCACTGTAAGTTCTATGTATGTCCCACCTGTATGATGTCCTCCAGGTTAGAGCTGACCGCGGAGCTGGCTTCCCCCTCTGTCTCCAGGTTGTGCAGGAAGGCAGAGACGTGCTCATCGTACACACCCCTCAGATGCTCCAGCACCGCCCCTCGACAGGCTGGGACTGAGCGCAGCAACCGCACAGCGCAGCGGGCGTGTTCCCGGACACTGAGCTTCCGCCCCTGAACGGTGTCAATGCCACTGATGAAGGACTTGATCTCCTGGGAGAGTTCCTGGGCACTAGGGGAGAAGGATGGACAGGATGAGTGATTTGCAAAGTGTGATGTTTAGCATCCATAAGCAGAAAATGATGAGGAAAAGGAACAAAATAAAAAGAGGTGTGCGCCTGTATGTGTGTGAGAGCGAAAGGTTCAATTCAAACTCCCCATAAAGATGTATTTATACATCACTAACAACAAGGAAGAGAAACATAGTATTCAACTATTTTGTCAATTGATAGTTTAGTCGAAATGTAAGAAAAAGTAATGAAAGACCCACAACCTCCCAATGCCCAGAGTGATGTCTTTAAACTGCTAGGTTTGTTTGACCAACAGCCAAAAACCAAAACATATTTAATTTACTGTCATACACGATGAAGACAAGCAACAAATCCTTATATGTGAGAAGCTGGAACTAATAACTATTGTTTTTTTTTAATTTATATTATCTTTTAAACAATTCCTATCTACTATCGAAATTGTTGTAGATTAATCTTCTCTCTATTGCTTTATATTCTGTACACAGCTTCTTTTTTTTTTTTTTGAATCAAAAATCAGATTTTGATGCTCTTCTCTGGTTTGTAAATTTGTAAACTGAATATTTCTGGGTTCTCGGTTTTAAGATGTCATTATGAGGTGTCATGGAAGTTGTGGTAGGTGTTTTTCACTATTCTTAGATTTAAAAAAGAAGAAGAAAAGGGCAACAACTAAAATCTTTCTTTTTCTTAATTAACTGATTGATTGCTTAGTCCAAAATTTGTCGGAAAATAGTTTAAACTGAGCAAGTGGATATATTCATGGATTAGTGTTTCGATTGCTATCAGATAAAGGCTACAACAAAAATTTAAGAACACATGATGAAGACAAGCAGCAAGTTTTCATATTTTTTTGGTCAACTAATTGATTAAATGAGTCATCTGCAGCTCTATATCAAAGAACAGCAGCACATTGTCATAATTGAGAAGCTGGAACTACGTAATGTTAGGCATTTTTAGATGAATGGATTTTTTTTTACTAGTAATCAATTGATTTATATTCATGGACAGATTCATTTAGTGTCAATGAACTAATCATTTTAGCTCTAAAATTTTTAAAGAATTAATTATTATTAATTATAATATTTATTAATTACAATAATGATTACTATCAAATATGATCATTATGAATGGTATTAATTATAATTATTAGCAGTTGCATTACAGCCCTAAAATAAATTCAATTGAAAATCTTATATAAAATATATAAAATACTGAACATTTGCTGGTGACTGGTGCTGTACAAATACGTGCTTTGCTCCAACTGATAACATTTCCTCAGTGTAACCGTGCCGCATGTTGTCAATCCAGTCACTTTCTTCATGAGCTGGCCCTACAGAACAATGTCGTAACAAATAAAAGTCTGACCCAGTATTGTCTATACCGTTAACTTAAATATAAAACATAAAACACGCACTAAACTGACTTTCAGGTCTAAATTGTCCAGTCCTCCACCACTCACCTCAGGGCAGTCTGCGGGGTGTGAGTGTGTGAGCTCTGCATCGCTTTCAGCGGACTCCCGTCAAACACCACAGACATCGCTTGGTCTTTTAACATTAAAGCGTCACATCAAATCCTCCTGTCAGCCAATGTGACTTCGACGAGGACAACAAGGACAGTTTTTTGTTATATTTTCTGTACAATTTCAGGACAAAAATACAGCGAAAGGGCGCTACAAAGCCGGAAGGTGGAACTTCTTCGTCGCTATGAAAAAGAAAACCGACATGGACAGCTGACGTCACTGGCGACATCTAGTGGTGACTACAGACATCTCGTAAAGTTTAGAGACATGAAATTTAGTGTATTTTTAAAGAAAAGTATGGCAATTATATTATTACCATATATTGTTATTGATATAACACATTTCTAGGTTTAGAACTAAAGTAAGTTTAGTCAATTCTGCTACTGTTTAAAGAATGAAAGCATAAATTATGTAATTATGGAACACTGGAAATAAATCAACTTATATTTAGACATGCAATGTTTATTTCCAAATACTACTTTATTAGTTTGAACATGAATACAAAAACAGGTAATGTCAAATAAAAAACCCAAAAAACAACATACCATAATACAAACCAGTTACACACATTTAGCACTGTCCAGACAGACACAAATCATCCCACTTCTCCCACACCAGTGGGACCCCTCAGCCACCCTCAGCTCAATTCTTGCATTATCCCAAATGTATATGATTACCAGTGTAGTGTTCTGAAGGTTTCCCTTTAGCAATATAAGCCTCTCCTAGAAGATATATCACAAATAATCAAAGGTCAATAAAGCACTATTGCAAAATGGTAAAGATGGACAGGGCTTTGCAGCAAATAGGGTTCAATAATATTCATATTAATAATATGACATAATATTATCTGTAACATACAGTCAGTTGCCAGTGTATTAGGCACACCATACTAAATGTAATGCAGTCAAAAACTGAACATTATAACATTCATGAATGTAGGAGATTTATTGCTGGACTGTTGCATCAGCCTACATTAGTTTTATCAAGGTGTACCTGATTAACTGCCAGCTGAATTTATCCATTATAATAATCATTATTATTGTTATTATTATTATTGTTGTTGTTGTATTTGTTGTTGTCGTTGTCGTTGTCGTTGTTGTTGTTGTTAGCAGTACTAGAAGTATCAGTAGCAGCTGCTTTTATTGTGAAGGTGACCGGCCCTAGCGGCTACAGAGAGCAATGATCAGCTGGTCGCTCACAGCTGAAATTTGACGTCAGTGCCTTTGACGACCCTGACGATACACCGGCCCGTGGACATTATCGTTTACGGTATGAAGAAGGACTTTCCGACCATTTACATACTGAGTTGTAGGCTAGTGTCAGGCTTCGTGAGCTGCGGTGTTTTATATGGTGTAACGTTAATGATGATTAAAGGTGATTTAGATTATGTAAACACAAACCAGCTAAGAACTAGCTTGCTTCCGACTCCCTTGACGTCTCGTCGCTTGTTTAGGCTCGTGCTGTTTGATTAAGCTTTGAAACAATGATTTTTATCTTTCATTTAACCGAATACACTCGCATTATTTTGGCGATGGTCCACTTTGTTTTACAGCATCTGATCTAAACAAGAACGGGAAGGTGTGTGCAGGTATTAACGTTACTTTCACATTCAAGTCTTTTGAGAGGTGCTGATTTATACCATTTCGGAAGGTGTAGTTTGTTTCTATTATTTTTGTCCATTTTTACATCCCTGAATGTTGGTTAAATAACAAAACATCACTGAAAAAAAGACCAGGAAAAAAGAGGAGGCTGTCCTTGAAAAACACACCAGAATTCAAACTTACCAAAAATTAATTAAGATAAAAAAGATTATTCAATAGTCAAAAAATATAAGGTTCATTCTTCATTCCCACATGGGCATCTGTGTTTTGTTAAAACCTTTATCAAAGCAAATACAGTTATTTTCAATAAACATGTTTCAATGCCAATCTTTACTTTTTCAGGTACAGGTTTTGTTTTCAGTTGCCAAAATCTAAAGTCTCTCTCCCACACACACACACACACACACACACACACACAGACAATCTGTAAAATGCTGTACTTTTGAGATAAATACATGAGCAACCATGCTAAATACACACAGATACACAGATAAATTGTGTATAATTTTATTTCATATCGTTTGTTAATATTTGGTCTACAAAAGGGTGCCGGCGCTGAAAGTCACACCAATCCAAGATTTACAGACGCAAGAGACACTGAAATGGCTCCGACTCTGGTGAGGAATTTACTGCTTAATTAGAATATAGAAAATAGACTTGATGATGTTTTTTGGTTATTTTTTGGTGTTCTTGGGATGTGTTATAGTAATTATGAATCATTATGCACTGGATAACATTTAAAGTGTGTGTGTCCAGCATACTATGGTTTTATAGCATTTAATTTAATAAAAAGTCATATTCTTATCTTTGTTTAACCCAGATTATGTCAGAGAGTTCAGGTCAAATGTGCTGCAGTTGTTGCTAAAACAGTCTGTTGCAAAGTCAAACTTTTTTTTTTCTGTGTCTTCTAATCCAAGTATGATGAGAAACCAGAGCCTGGGGACTTGATAGAAATCTTCCGTGGCACCTACCAGCACTGGGCAGTTTACATCGGTGATGGCTTTGTCGTTCACTTGGCACCACCCTGTGAGTCATGGTACACAAGTCTCTGGATTGTGACAGAAGTCCCAGTCTGGAACAAAGAGCACCTTCATCTGACAGCTCACATTCACTGTGGCATGAAGTTTTTCAGACCAGAGTATCAGCTTAAATTATTTTATTGGTTAAACTGTTTCAATAATTCATAAAAAAACACACACACAATAGGTTGCAAATGTATGCATGTCTGTTTATCTCTCTTTCTGTCATTCCTTTTTAATGATAGCTGAGGTCCCAGGTGCGGGCTCCAACAGTATGATGTCCGTTCTAAGTGAGAAGGCTGTGGTGAAGAGAGAGGAGCTGTGGGATGTGGTGGGAACAAACAACTGGAAAATAAACAACAGCCTGGATGAGAAGTACAAGCCCCTCCCAGTTCCTGTCATTGTGAAGGAGGCCCGTAAGCTGGTGGGCAAGGAACTGCCATACTGTGTCTTCAGGGGGAACTGTGAGCACTTTGCCAACGAGCTGCGCTACGGCAAGGCTGAGTCCCGGCAGGTAGGTCGAGGCATGTTGGTCTTTAACATTTACAAAACATTTTTTGGACCAGGGGACAGGGTGCAGCCAGTGTAGATTGATGTAAGTAAGCGTTGAAGAGACTTAAAATTGAGTGGATATATAGCGCTGATCTGGGATTTGTACCAAAAGGCCCAACATGTATAAAGAAACGCAGATCTTCCACATTACTTATCATGGCTATCTGCTCAAGACGGGTTATGGAGGGGAAAGGACTCCCATAAAGGAAAGCAGGAACTTTGGACCACTAAAGAGGGTGAGAAAGTCTGCAAAGGCAGCCTCAACTGTGCACTGCTTTATCTTTTGATGCAGACGTTTGCAGTTTAATCTGTGATGAAGCATGGTGGCTGTGGTAGCTTGATAGCTTGGTTTTAACAGTGGCAAGAAAAAGAAGTGAACCCTTTAGAATTATCTTTATTTACATATAAATTTGTCAACTAAACTGGTCAGATCTTCATTTAAGTTACAATGATGAACAAACACAATCTATTTAACTAATAACATTCTTGTCCATACTGAAAATTTCATTCAGACATTCACAGAAGCTAATTGGAGTCAGGAGTTATCAAACCTGGAGTCCAATCAATAAAGACAAGATTGGAGGTGTGGGTTAGAGCTATTTTTACTTATAACAAAAAAAACATACACATTTTGGTCCTATTACATTACATATTTCATTACTAAAACATTTTGAGTTTGCTATTCACAAGAAGCATCTGCTGATGTGAACGATGCCTCACAAAAGAGAGATCTCAAGTCTTGCGATCAAGAATTGTTTATTTATTTGCATGAACCTGAAGTGATTACAAAGTCATCTCAGAGTTTAGATGTTCATCAGTCCACAGCTACACAGTGTCTATGAATGGAGACATTTTAGTTCTGTGGATACTCTCCCTAGAAGGGTGCCCAGCTAAGATGAGTCCAAAAGTAAATTGTGGTGCATGGTTGCATGGAGCACGGTGTCCTGCCATGGACACCATGGAGGACACGGCTGCTCTCCAAACAAGACTAAATCAAAACCTAGTGTACGGACAGTGTATGGTCAAAGTGCAAAAGTGAGGATGGGGTTAAAAACTGTTGTGGAACCGCTGTGAACAACTGACATCATCATGGTGTATCTGCATTCTGCCTTGTGTCAGCTGGTTTCAGCTCTTTGCTCCTACTCTCTGTGCTCACATGTACAGTATTTTAATACAGCTGAATTTCCAGTAAACAAATACAGTGTATTAATAGCATTTAATTTCCAATAAAGTTGCTCTCATTTACATGAATTTCTGTTTCTGTTGTCAGACAACAGAACAATTATGAAATAGTGACTGCAACACAGCCCATTAAGACTACATGTTAACCAACAGTCATTTTCCGATCCACATTACTGGCAAGTAGCTAAAGTTTGTCACTATATCAGTCGCCAGGTGCTTTTTTTGGAAAATAAGTCTAAAAATCTGACAACAAATGTGTTAAGTTGGCAACACTGCAGGCCAGCTGACTAATGGTGTAACTTGATCACTCAACTTTATCACTCACTCAGTCATTCAGTGGTTTATAGCCCTGGCACCGCTGTTGTGGCCATAATCTCAGGGTGGCTGTCCACCTGCAGAAGCTCAGTAGAAGTTGGGTGACGCAACAATGACCCTTAACATCAAAGTAAATCTACTATAGAATGACTTCAAACAAAGAAAATTCACCATTGGCCCAGTCATAGCCCAGGCCTTAATCCAGTATAGAAAGCTGTGGAATGACCTGAAGAGAGCTGCTTACACCAGACATGTCTGAGTTGATGCAGCTCTGTACGAGGAGTGGTTCGAAATTCCTCCTGAACATTGTGCATGTCTGATCAGCAGCTACTGGAAGAGCTTGTTTTAGGTTATTGCTGCCAAAGGAAGTTTGACCGGTCATTCAAGTCCAAGGGTTCACTTACTTTTTCCACCAGTGAATGTTTAATGGGTATGTTCAATAAAGACATAAAAGATTAGCACTAGTCTAGTATGACACAGAACTATTCTCCTATACTCTTTACCAAAAGTGTGGTGAATAAAGCATGGTGTACTGTGGAAAAGTTGTGCTATGTTTCAAGCTCACATGTATCCGTTTTATTCAGCTTAGAACCTAGACCTTAGAAATATTTCTGTCTGTGGATCAGAATAAAACAGCGCTATAAGATGTTTTCTGTGTGTGTGCAAATATGCATATCATGCATATCCAAAGATGGCCACGGAGGAAAAGCTGACAATAAAGATATTTGGCTCTTGTTCAAAATATCTGCACATTTTTCTACAGACGTGAGTTTGGTAAGGCATTTTTTAAAAATAAGAATTGGATCTACATTTGTATATAAATTAAAACTAATATGCAAGTGACACAATTCCCTGAGTTGTGGATCATTTTATTGGAGTTTTCGGTGTCGAGAACACTCAGCATGTCCATGTTCTCCTACTGAAAGATGTGTGTTTCTCTCTGTAGGTGCGTAAGGCAGGAGAAGTAGTCGTGGCTGCAGGCCTGGCAACAATGGTGGGTCTGGGCGTTGTGGCTCTGGCAGGAGTTCTGTTTGGAAGCAGCAAAAAACAAGACAAGAACACAAAGTGATCAAAGTCCTGAGTTGCCCGTTTACTGGCTTGATTAACACATCACCAGCAAAGCCTAACTTGTGCTGATCATAATCAGTCTCAGTCACAGATAACTAACTAACTAACTAACTAACTAACTAAACCTCCACCTGTCCCTCATGCCTTTTTTTAGTTTGAAAAGCAATGCAAGGCACTTTTTTTCTGACTTTTTAAAATTTCTATGGCATAAGCACAACGAACAGGATCTCCACTACTTAAGGTGCCATAGATGTTAAAATGTTTTAATAAGACATCTCAAGAATGAATGAAGATATTTTTTGAATTATGAAGGATGTGAGATTCATGCGGGTGATATGGTGGGGAGGGGGGGTCTTTTCTACTGATTTATAATTATTTTCATCCTGAAAAGTTTTAAACAAAAATGGTTGCTGATTGCTGCTCATGGTGGATTGGTTTTGGCTATTTGAATCAAATCTCAATGGTGACTGTTGTTAGCCAGTACTAAATAAGCTATCTAAAAAGAACATTTAACAATCAAAATACATTTAACTGAAGAAATTGTTATTGCATCTCACAGGAAAGCCATATAATGTCATGTTACACCACTATGTCATCCTTTGACGTTTCAAAAGATTTGAATAAAAAAATAATTTGTGTGAATCTTGATGTTAGTCTGTCATTCCTTTACTTAAGTAAAAGTACCACTGCAACAATATAAAAATAATCCCCCCACATGTAAAAGTTCTGCATACACTGAATACACTTTTCACAACCACAAAATGCCCCATATTCATAAGCACACCCCCAAAAATCCTCTGATTTCTGTAAGACATACAGAAAGATTTATAACACACACAGAAAGTTAATGAATAAGTTATGTATTGACTACGCTCCTTAATGGCTGCTATAATTTCTGCAGATCACTAGATGTCACTGTACTTTATTTCATCAAAGCTTCAAAGCTTTGACCCTTTTTCAGACGTGTGTGTGTGTGTGTTTGTTTGATCTCCTGATACAGGTGTTAAAGTATACAGCAGGAGTAGGATTACTAGGAGGAGCATTAGGAACACTATTAGGATCAGGAGGGACAGTAGGAGGAGCCGCTTGTGCAGCGCTTTACATGAAGGGTTTACTGGATACTCTGGACCAGTTACCTTTCTGAGTGTCATCCTCCTCCTGAACTGATTCTCTGTCAGTAGCCTACTCCAAGGAATACATGAATTAATTTAAATAATATCTCATAATTTCCAAGTGTGTATTTGTTTCTGTTTGTTTTTATGTAAATTCATGGTAGCTACACTGTGAAAATACTAGATGTTTTAGTCGCTTATTAAATGCATTAAAGCTCCATACACTTCACCTATGGCTACCATCACTGCCAATAGGCGTCTGTCATAATGTTTCGCTTTACACAGGGAAGCCAGCCAAGGACATCCTCTCTCTCCCTCAAATGTACATTGTGAAAATCTATTCAGGAATTTCAAACTTATCAATTAACTGGTCCAAAACTCCTACCACTGCAAGGATGTGGCAGTCTACTGTTCACTGCAATAAAGCAACACTGAATAATTATCAACATATACCCGAAGCTGTTATAGTTATTTAATCTAAACTTCACACCACCACTCAAAACAACAGCAGATGACCAGAACCGCTGGATGAATATACTACTTCCTCTATCCGGCAGAAAAGGAGGCTTTTTAGGCTAAAAACATATTGATCAAGAACAGAAAAGAGTTTGCCCACAGAAATGTTTAGAGGAAGTGTATCAAGAGCGCTGCTTCTCAGTCCAATAACTCTAAACGTCCTTTACTTTGCCTTAGAAATCATTATAATGTCCGGTGTCCTGACAACAGAGCTACTGCCTATTTCAAAATATGAAACATGGGTCTTTTTTTTTTTTAATGAAATAGAAAATTAAAATCAAACCACGGTCGCTCATCTCTTTTTCACTATGAAAAAGAATTATTTTTTAATTTTTTTCAATTTTTTTTATTTTAAAATGAAAATCAAATAACCCTACTTTTTTTGTTCTTTAATACCCATTTCTGAAAATAAAGTCCAAGTATCAGGGCGTGGAGCCTTGTCTTATCTAGCAGCTTTTTATAAACAGTCTCTGGTTTTTACCTTATATAACAGATAGTGGGCGTTTCCTGCTCTAAGTTTAGAACTGACGCACAGTTCAAAGTAAACAACTACCACTCCAGCCTTTTCTCTTTAGGAGGAAATCTCGCTCGTTTTTACATGTTTCACTTTACTGTTGTAAGTAGAGAGGTTTCGTTGTGTAGGCTACTCACAGTAGTTGAGGAAGTAAGCTTTTCTTGTCTGTTTGCCCAGAGGGTTTTGTGACGATATTATAGGCTACGTTTTGTGAAGCCTTAAATAGAAATAGATTATACATTCAGCAACCAAACCAGGAGTAGCCTAGATCTCTCCTCCGACCTCTGATGCGACATTGTCACGACTGCAGGTAAAAAAACTCCTTGAGGACAGGCTGGTATTGTCAAATTGAAACCGGACGGCTAAGGTTAATCTTGACATTCTCATCTTACATTCTCATTTCAACTAGTCTACTTGATGCTAATTGTTACTCTCAGACGCTCCCTCCCACAGGTGCAGTCCCTTGCTTTTATCATCTCAGGGGCAATCGCCTTGTTTCGTTTTGTACATCTGTTCGATGTACATCCCTCACACAGCGTCACTCACTACAATGGCTACAGCACAATAGGTCAGCAGGAACATCCTTTTATTAAAACTTGCAGCGAAGTTGTAATTACAGATGTAAGAATCTGCAACGTCAAGTGCTCGCCACCTTTTGGTGAATCTTGCCGGCTGTAAATGGCAGTTAATTTCGTCTATAAGTTATGCCACTTTACTTTTTGTACTTTTATATTGAAGAGCACCACTCTTATTTTGTAACTTCCTGTTATCGAAGACACTAGACTTCCTGCTCCCGTCTCGCTAAAAACAACGTGCTCATGATGCTACAGAACTGGTAAAACATGCAAACAAACTATTAACATGTGGTATCTTGTGTTGACACTTGTGAACGGTCATTTTATTGTGGTTCATTCCGTGTTTTTTGTGTCATGGTATTTCTCATGTAAGCTATTACTGCGAGGTGTGTGAGTGTGAGAAAGACGGGCTGCTAGCAGGCTGAGCTAAAACTTAGCGCCCTTGGAAGCAGAAGGAGGTAGGAGGAGACTAACGGTGTATTCATTATAAAAAGAGTGGTTCATTTTATTTAAAACTGAGAGAAACTGTCATTATTTTATTTAATAAGAACTGCAACTCATAGCAGTTTAAAACGGTAAATTCATGTAAAAATGTATCGTTTAAGTTTAAAAATGTGAACATGATTTCTATGTATTATTTACTGAAATCTGGTACCATGGCATTTGTATTTCTGTCCACTTTCATAGTTTTCACGGTGTCAGAAGGTGTTAAAATGCCAGTGGTGAAAGGAGGAGAGAATAAAAGTCGAACACCAGTCGAAGCTCTCTGCATCTTGTGTGGTAATTCCAAGTGGGCCGCTACACCGGCTTTCAAGGAAAATTGAATGTTACCCTGTTAGATACACAAACTCTCACCCTTTTTTTTGATAATATTTGTTATTGATTTGTTCCTTCAGGTGCTGATTCTGTCTGATAGTCAAACCAGGCCAAACATCCAAGAACACAGGCAATAGCTCAAACTATGGTGAGTAAATTCCACAGTAAACTAGAGTACTCACACATGCCTCTGCCAAGGCTACACAACCTTTTGTTATTTAATTTAACATAAAATGCTAAGAATTTTCTTTCTTAATTCAAGTTAAGAACAGTAGATCATATGAAAACTGACAATAAGACAGAGAGAGAGAGATCTTGATAAAATAAAAGCTAATAGAGGAGCAAAGGAAAAAGGATTTTCATCACTATAACAAAATATACACAACACCTGGATAAAAACATTTAGGATCTGAATCAAATTTTTTTGTCAAAAATATTTATTTTTTACTTAATTATTCTTTCCAAAAAGCCAGAGCTTGGGGACTTGATCGAAATATTCCGTATGGGAGTTGCAGGTGTGCCAATACCACTGCTAGATTATCAGCACTGGGCTGTGTACGTTGGAGATGGATACGTTGTTCACCTGGTGAACCTCGGTGAGTCATTTCTTTACCGTCTGTACAGAGTCTGGACTGATGCTCCCAAACACTGACAACTCCCAGTAAAGACCTTCATTTAGCAGCCAAGATGCAATGCTGTGCAGACCAGGGACTGCAGACCATTATTATTTAGTTGATTAAACCAACCAACATTTTATTCAACTTTCACAAATCAAATGATAAAACAGATCTCAACATAAATGTTCAAACTCATCATAAAACATGTTACAACCTTCAGTTGATATATGAAGTCTAACTTATTTGTCTTTCTGTCTTCCTCATACCCTTAGGCTCAGACAGCTTCTCCAGCTCGCCCAGCTCGCCCAGCTCGCCCAGCTCGTCCAAGCCACAAACAAAACCTACGGGTTGCAAAGGCAAAGTAAAGAGACAAAAACTGGAGGTTGTGGCAGACCACTGTAGGTGGAAAGTAAATAACAAACTGGACAACAAACGCAGTCCTCGGCCAGCCCACAAAATTGTGGAGGAGGCCCTTTCCTTGGTGGGTCAGGACATATTTTACGATGTCACCGTACAGAATTGTGAGCACTTTGTCAACAAGCTACGATATGGCGTAAGCACATCTTGGCAGGTAGGTGGACCCACAATTTGGAAACTGGAACAAAGATTCACAGTTTTCTATACACAATCAAATGAAATGGTAAAAGAACTTTTATTATTCTTTTGTTGTCTCTAAAGGGATTGTTTTTGATTATGATATAAATTAACTCTGAACTATAGCATAATTTTGTTGTGTTCAACAGCTTTTGAGTGAGTTTAAGCTTATGCAACAATCACAGTTTGGTTAGGTTTAGAAAAATATCATAAGTGCATTAATGTTATTCTAAATTTATTACTAAAACTGGGTGGCATTAGACCTGTGTCCAACCCCTGAGGATGGAGGCTCAACTGGCCCTTGGACAACATCTTTTCCCAAACCTGAACAGAGTAGTTTTAGGTGACAGATCAGAAAATGTTGAGTTGCAAATATTAATACAAGATAAACAATGTTAAAAATCCTGACACTTGCAGCTACATTGCCATAAGAAAAAAAAAAATTTCTTGCAACTGTGTGTCTGTGTGTGTGTGTGTGTGTGTGTGTGTGTGTGTGTGTGTGTGTGTGTGTGTGTGTGTGTGTGTGTGTGTGTGTGTGTGTGTGTGCGCGCGCATGTGCATGCATGCATGCGTGCGTGTGTGTTTGATCTCTGGTACAGGTGTTAAAGTATGCAGCAGTAGGAGCAGCAGCAGTAGCAGGAGGAGCACTTGGATCAATCGCAGGACCAGGAGGGGTGGCAGGAGGAGCCGGCGCTTTAGCACTTTACGTCAAGAACAAACTGGAGTAGTTAACTCCCTCAGTTTCCTCTTCCTCCTCCCGAAGTTATTTCTCTGGCAGTAGTCTACTCAATGGAATACATGAAATAATTTGAAAAAAACATGTTGTAATCTCCAAGTGTGTGTATTTGCTTCAATATGTTTTATGCTAATTCATGGTAAGTAGTTACCCAGTGAAAATACAAAATATGTTTTTGAAACATTTTTAGTTGTTTAGTTTAGTTTTCATTCATAGGCAAAATACCGTCAGTCAGTCAGACAGTCAGTCAGACAGTCAGACAGTCAGCAACAATTGAGATTATAGGGCTGGCCCCGCTGTTACAGTCCAGCTAAAAAGTGTTCACACATAGAATTAAGTATAACTTATATTTTCTGTAAATGTAAATGATGTAAATAAAGGCTATCTGCAAACCAAACCCAGGAATATAACTGAACATCTTTTACTTTGGTTCTTATTCATTTTCCCTTTATCAGGCACACACCTGTCTGTATAAGGTCTCATAGCTCTCAGGTCTCAAAAACCAACCATGAGGAGGTGTTGAGGCACAGATCTGGGGAAGACTACAACAAAGAATTCTGCATTGAAGGTTCCCAAGAGCAAAGTGGTCTCCATAAGTCTTAAATGGAAGATGTTTGTAACAATCAGATCACTTGCTAGAGCTGACTGACTGAGCAATCGGGGAGAAGGGCCCTGGTAAGAGAGGACCCGATTGTTGATTGATTTAACAGTATAGCTCACATGCTACATAATTTGGATTCTCCATTGTCTCCAGCCAGAATAATAAAACAGTTCCTGACCTGACCATACTAGGTCATTAGCTCTAAAGGTGAATGGATGGTGATTACTTGGCTTATCTATACAGCATTATATATTGTAACACCCAACCTAACAACACCATATCCAACAGGAGATATGGGGTCACACTGAAAGGTTTGATGGAAACAGAATCTGCTGGTTTGAGGCATCTCAGGTCCACTTTTGAATATTGCTGAAATTGGGGGGTTCTTATGATCCTACGGAGCAGATCTGTAATTAAATAAAGGCACAAATAAAAGAGTAAAAGAAACGTCTCCTTTACCCAGACCACACCCAATATTGACTAAAATAACTGCAGGATAAATATTAATATCCTTAAATGATCCCAGGGGGTTTTGGTGAAATCTGTAGGATTATACAGGTACAAATGTATAACAAGACCTTCCAAATAAAACTGATTTCATAAACCCTCCACCACAGCACTATAGCTTATGGGACAGGAAACGGCATGTAAACGCACAAACTGATTTTTCCTTGAAACCTGGTGTCCAGCTTCTATTTAACAATGTTATGTCCATGGCCCAGCTGCTCTGTTATGTGTCTGCAGTGCATGTTTCACATTTACAGATCTGAAACCAGTCCAGAGACTCACCTGTCAGGCCAGTTCAGTACAATAAAATACAGTGTGGTATGTGCAAAGTAAACTCAGCACATTTGTTATTTCGTGCTATGGAGCGTGTTAGGCCGTACAAATACACAAGTGCATGCATGGACTGATTTTACATCTTAAATCTGTAATTAAGTGAAAGCTGAACTAAAACATTCATATCCACTGTGTGTGTGTAGTGGCCTGATAAAGTAGGCAAAGAAGTAGTCAAATTCATATCGCAGACCACAGTGGTCGTCATGTTTAAAACGGGTGTAATCTGTTTGTTTTATATTTTACCTTATATAGGAGACGATGGAACTTTCCTGGTCTCCGCCCACAACCGAGGCACATAAAAAGGTAGCGGTCTTCCACTTTCTCTTTTGGCTCTTTGTTTCTTCTAGGAGTGACCTTGTACTTTGGACTTTTGTTTTATAAGCAACTCACAATAGTTGAGGGAGTAGACGTTTTCTTGTCTTTTTGCCACGATATCATAAGTTTTGGTCATCGCCAAACTAAAGTTCCTGGAGTAGGACTCTCCCCTGAACGCCGGCTGTGACAGCCTCACTACTGAAGGTAGGAAACTCCTTGATATATTCTGACATAACTACCTGACACTAAATTATTAAATTGATTTGAATTGTCAAAATGAAACTGAAATTGACTGCTAAGACAACTAACTGACCTAGATAGGCCTACATTATAACCGTCTCTTTTTGACACAGGCAGACACCAGGAACAGGACATTTTTTCGTTTTTTAAAAACACAAATTCAGTCCGGCTCCTTCTTTTCCGTTATCCCTGACAAATAACTTTTCCTTTGTGGGTGGGCCTTCGGCGCCTCTGTGCTTCTGATTGGCTGCTGTGCTCTGTCAATTATGTTTGCACTGTAATCAACAAAAAGTTTGAAGTTTTGCCTTCTGAGTGCAATGACAAACTAAATGGATTGTGAGACAGACTTATGATTATTATTATTATTATTACTATGAAAATTAAAAATATGAAAAACATTTTTAGGTCATTACAGGTCATTGAAAAAAATAATGTAAGAACATTATAATAAATAATTATTCAATTATAACCATTAATTATTAAAGACTAAAGGGCATTGTAGTCTGTCTGTCTATCTTTGTTTTGCAATATATATATTTGTATGTAGTCATTGTACTGTCTACTGTCAAATATGATAAATTTGGTACATTTGTTGTACATTTATTGGCTAAAAAGTTTATTCTCATACTAATTTTTAGAATTAAGTTTTGCTTTGATGTACAGAGAGCATGTAGATAGGGCACTGTGAATCTCATACAATAGGATTTCAAAACAACATATCACACCAAATATGAAGCAGTTAATGTGAGGGAAATAACTTAGTTAAGACTAGACTAGCAACTAGACTACCTCAGGATATACTTCTGTAAAGGATGACATCAAATCTTTGCTTTTCTTATAATATTTGTGATTGATTTGTTCCTTCAGGTGCTGATTCTGTCAGACAGTCAAACCGGGCCCAAAATCTGAGAACAGGCAATAGCTCAAACCATGGTGAGTAAGTCCCATCAACAGCTGAACCACAGTAAACTACAGAGCACTCACACATTCCTCTAAACAACCTTTTTTTGTTTCGGTCAACATAAAATTGTTTTTTTAATAATTTTTGTAAATTCAAGTTAAGTACAATAGATCATGAGAAAACTGACAATAAAAAAGAGAGCAAGAGAACATGATAAAACATCAGCAAATAGTAAAATATATAATATAAGTAAAGGAAGAAGGATTTCCATCACTTTGGCAAAATAAACACACCACCTAGATAAAAATGCTGCAATATTTAGCACCTCAATCAAAATGTATTAATTTCTTGCTTTTTCCAAGTAGGCTTCACCATGTATCACTATAACAATCATCAATAAAACAAAATATACACAACATTTAGGACATGAATCAAAATTATTTGTCAAATGTATTAATTTTTTGCTTTATTATAATTTTTTCGAGAAGCCAGAGCTTGGGGACTTGATTGAAATCTTCCGTACAAACGTTTCGGGTGTGCGAGTGCCACTGCTAGATTATCAGCACTGGGCTGTGTACGTTGGAGATGGATACGTTGTTCACCTGGTGAACCTCGGTGAGTCATTTCTTTACCGTCTGTACAAAGTCTGGACTGATGCTCCCAAACACTGACAACTCCCAGTAAAGACCTTCATTTAGCAGCCAAGATGCAATCCTGTGCAGACCAGAGAGTGCAGACCATTATTATTTAGTTGATTAAACCAACCAACATTTTATTCAACTTTCACAAATCAAATGATAAAACAGATCTCAACATAAATGTTCAAACTCATCATAAAACATGTTACAACCTTCAGATGATATATGAAGTCTAACTTATTTGTCTTTCTTTCTTCCTCATACCCTTAGGCTCAGACAGCTTCTCCAGCTCGTCCAGCTCGTCCAAGCCACAAACAAAATCTAAGGGTTTCAAAGGCAAAATAAAGAGACAAAAACTCAAGGATGTGGCAGGGAATGACGAGTGGCGCGTAAATAACAAATTGGACAACAAACGCAGTCCTCGGCCAGCCCTGGAAATTGTGCAGGAGGCCCTTTCCTTGGTGGGTCAGGACATGTTTTACCATGTCACCAAGTGGAATTGTGAGCACTTTGTCAACAAGCTACGATATGGCGTGAGCAGATCTTGGCAGGTAGGTGGACCCACAATTTCAAATCTATCTCTAGAAGGCAGATTTCCAAACTGTACCATAAATTTGTTTTTTGTTTTCAACCGCTTTTGAGTTAGTTTAAGCTCATGCAACAATCACAGTTTGGTTAAGTTCATGATGTATTCTCATTAAGGTCAAAGGATTTGTTGAGTTGCAAATGTTAATACAAGACAAGTGATGAAAAAAATCCTGATACTGGAAAAAACATTTCTTACAACTGTGTGTGTGTGTGTGTGTGTGTTTGTTTGATCTCTGGTACAGGTGCTAAAGTATACATTAGTAGCAGGAGCAGGATATCTGGGAGGAGCAGTAGGAACATTACTAGGACCATTAGGGACAGTGGGAGGAGCCACCGGCGCAGCGGTTTACACCAAGGCTTTGCTGGATAAACTGGAGTAGTTAACTTCCTCAGTGTTGTCCTCCTCCTGAATTTATTTCTCTGTCAGTTGCCTACTCAATGAAATACATGAAATAATTTGAAAAATATCTTGTAATTTCCAAGTGTGTGTATTTGTTTCAATTTTTTTTATGTCAATTCACAGAAAGTAGCTACCCCATGTTTATTTGCACTTATTCATTTAAAGGGTATGTTTTGACCCCAGATAATCCCAATTTACCATTATGAAAAAGGTATACAAAGATGTACGTCATTTTAATATAGATTATGCTGTAGATTAGATTTACTAACATTGTGCCTGGTCAGTTTAGAAACACAATAGAGCAATAGCTACACACATCCTATTCCAAATGTGGTGATGAAAGCAGGCAAGGACATCCTCTCTCTTTCTAATGTTTCACCATATTTATTCAACCACAAGCAGCATCAATCTGCCAAACACCAGCATCAAAGGTTCTTCATATTTGGCACAAACATCTCAACTCAAGGATGAAACCTTTTCAGGAATTTCAAATTAATCAATTAACAACCAACCTAGGATCCCCTATTGACTACAGTTGTATCAGACACCTGGAGCAGGTCTTTCATGATGATTAATTTACCACTTTCCAGTACTTGATCTTGAATCCTGGCATTAGGGATAAACAGCATCTGGAATACCTACACCTGAAATTGGCCGTTATATCACCAAGGTTAATCAAACTGCTTGTTCAAGTTAATAGAAAAACTGTAGAATTTCACATCTACTAATAAACCTATATCAAGAATATATATCATTCTTAACAAAGTGGGCTTCATATTAACCATGCAAAATGATATTTTCTGCAAATGTAAATGATTGAAATAAAGAATGTATGAAAACTAAACCCAGGAATGTAATTGAACATATTTTATTTTGTTTTGTTTTTTATTGATTTTCCTTTTATCTTGTAAGAGATCCTGTGTGGACAAGGTAGAAAGTTTTCAGAAACAGAAGGACAACCAATCCTAAGCATCATGTCTGGTTTCCTGCAGACATCACACTTAGAATTGACGCAAAGCAGTTCTTTAAGGTTTCTCCCACCTCCACACAGGATCCCTGGAGCTCAGCCTAAGTGACCATCGGGTTCTTGGTCATGTCTCGGACCAAAGCTCCTCCCCCCGATTGCTCACTTTGACAAAACTTCATAGTTTCTTCCTCCTCATGGTTGTTTTTTGCTCTGACATGCATTGTTAGCTGTGAAACCTTATGTAGACAGGTGTGTGCCTATCCAAATCCTGTCCAATCAGTTGAGTCGACCACAGGTGGACTCAAGTCAAGGTGTAGCTCAAAGACGATCAAGAGAAATGGGAGAAAGCTGAGCTAAATTAATTGTCATAGAAAAAAGTCTGAATACTTACATCAAAGTGATATTTCTGTTTTTCCTTTTTAATACATTTGTTAAAATTTCTAAAGTTGTGTCTTTGCTTTGTTATTATAAGGTATGGGTGGGAGGGAAAACATTATTTTGGATTGTAGCATAAGGCTGTAACATAAAATGGGAAAAAGGTGGAGGAGTCTGAACACTTTCTGAATACACTATATATAAATATATAATTATTAAATATAACTTATATAAATATAAGTAATTACTATAGACGTATTATTTGAATAAAAAAATACATTCATGGTTTCCCTTAAACTGATATTTAATTTGTAATATACAAACATTTGTATTTGCCTGTTTTTCATTCTGGCTTGTGAATGTCGAACTGTTACCATGAAGCATGAAGAAACGAACCTCTTCTCAAACCACTTTCCTGGAATGGCTCAGTACTTCATGACGCTTCCTTTCACCATCAGTTACTGTATATCTCACCTGTGAAATGGCTTTGTACATTTGACAAGCTGAGGTCATGCATTTTATTTGATTTTAATTGTGGTTATTTAGAAGTGAGGATGACCTAACACACAAACAGTACTCTAATGTAAGGAAGAAACATACGTTTTATTTTACAATAGCTCACATGCTACATGATTTGGATTCTCTGAAAAACATCCCCTCCAGCTTTCTTCAGAAAAATGCAGCATAGTTCCTGACCTGTCCTGACCACCCCATACCAGGACATTAGCTCCAATGGTGATGGCTATTGATTGCGTCACTTGGCTTATCTATACAGCATTATGTGTTGTAACACCCAACCTAACAACACCATATCCAACAGGAGATATGGGGTCACACTGAAAGGTTTGATGGAAACAGAATCTGCTGGTTTGAGGCATCTCAGGTCCACTTTTGAAATTTTCTGCTGAAATTGGGGGGTTCTTATGATCCTACGGAGCAGATCTGTAATTAAATAAAGGCACAAATAAAAGAGTAAAAGAAACGTCTCCTTTACCCAGACCACACCCAATATTGACTAAAATAACTGCAGGATAAATATTAATATCCTTAAATGATCCCAGGGGGTTTTGGTGAAATCTGTAGGATTATACAGGTACAAATGTATAACAAGACCTTCCAAATAAAACTCTGATTTCATAAACCCTCCACCACAGCACTATAGCTCATGGGACAGAAAACGGCATGTAAACGCACAAATTGATTTCCCCTTGAAACCTGGTGTCCAGCTTCTATTTAACAATGTTATGTCCATGGCCCAGCTGCTCTGTTATGTGTCTGCAGTGCATGTTTCACATTTACAGATCTGAAACCAGTCCAGAGACTCACCTGTCAGGCCAGTTCAGTACAATAAAATACAGTGTGGTATGTGCAAAGTAAACTCAGCAGTTGTAATTTCGTGCTATGGAGCGTGTTAGGCCGTACAAATACACAAGTGCATGCATGGACTGATTTTACACCTTAAATCTGTAATTAAGTGAAAGCTGAACTAAAACATTCATATCCACTGTGTGTGTGTGTGTGTATGTGTGTGTGTGTGTGTGTGTGTGTGTGTGTGTGTGTGTGTGTACTGAAAAACTTTCAGTATAATAATAAGTTTGATTCTGAAATTCTGTTATATATGTTTATCTGTTTTTTTAAAAAGTGTTATTTCTTCATGTCATTTTAGGACAAGATGCACCATTTATATACATTTACTTTACAACTGCAACTTTATGAGTAATGAAAAAAACAACAACCAGAGTGACATGTTGTTAAATCACTTCTTCTGTAAGGGCTGCTGCTCTGTGCTGCTTCATGTCTCTCTGGGTTTTGTTTTCCACTCTTATGTCTCTGCTTTTGTTTTCCATTGTTTTAGCTCTTCCATCCACAACACTGCATTCATAAAGAACTGGACTGTTGCTTTTTCCCCCCTCTGTCATTTCTTTAGAGGCTGATCTCATCTGAGCTGAGCTCATCTACTCAGCAGAAGCAACTTTTCACAGTTTCACTTCTAACACTTCTTTCTGGTCCTTTACTTGTGGAATGTTGAGCGTCGATCTACTGTTCTGGGATCAGTGACTGCGGTCCATGTTCCTCCCTCTCAATCTCCACCCTCGTCAGTCCAGCTTGCGTGCGCCCAGTTTGAGAGGACCTTTAGCAGCTTTGCGCTCTGCCCGTTTTGCCTCCAGCTCTTTCCTCCTCTCCTCCCGTTTCTTCTTGGACAACTCGGCCTTGCTGAGACCTGGGCAGCAATAAAAACAGGCAGTTCAATGCACAGACGTACAGTAAGGAATTAACGGTCAGGTAACAAGAATACTTGGGTATTAGTGTGAACACAGAAGCAGTTCAAGTGAGGAGGTAAAAATGGTCTAGTGATGGGACAAATGCTAGTGAAGCTGCATAGCACAACACATGCACAGAATTTGGATTTTTATTAAATGCCAGACTAAGTGTAGACGTGACATGCATCATCTGTTTGCAGCTCATTTTGAGAAATTCCAAGGTCTCGTTTCTGACGAGTGAGACCAGCTGAGAGACTTACCCTGGCTTCCATCCACTGACTCCCAGCTCTCCTCCACTCCCCAGTCTCCTGTTGCCTCTGCACCCCAGCTGTCTCCGGTCTGACAAGGAGAAAACACTGAAATCCTTGGACTGTCAAGAAATCCCTGACTATTTTCTTTTCTTATTAAATGTTCATGTTCTCTTGACCTAGTGATCAACTTCTCATCAAGAGAACGTAGTATTTTATTTTCACCTCATTCAAAGGAGATGGTTCTTTTTTTAGCCACATTGTCCTTTTTCATCCCTCTACCTCTATCTTCTAAATCTGATGGTAATCTAATGTTTACAGTTACATACATTTGATCACAGTCCTTTTGCTCAGCATCAATGTGAATAGCTTACTTTGCAGACTGGAACACTTTAAACATGTAAAACAGATCAGTGAGGATGCAGCATTTTTATCCCAATTAATAGAAGTAATTTTTTCTGTGATGTGTTTTCTCACTTTCAAGAGTCACAATTTCTCACACACTGATAATTTCAAATCTAATTAACACTAATTTCATCTGTCTATCTTTTGCTCTTTTGTCTTTCTGCCTCCCTCTGTCCTCACCATTGTGGCAGCAGTACTGGCTGTGTTTCTTTGGGACACGCTGGCGAACAGGTCGTTCTGACTGGCTCCCTTCGATGTGTTGCTGCTGTCCCAGTTGTACTCGCTGGCTAACCGCACCCCATCAGGCAGGGGGAGCGTCTTGTTGACCAAGGTTGTGTCTGTCTCCTCCTCCCCCCAGTCGTTGCCCCAGCCCTCCTCGCCCGCAGAGCTCTGACCCTGGCCTTCCTTCTCGTTGGACCAGCTGTCGTCAGCGTCCCAGCCTGAGCTGCTCCAGTCAGAGCTCTGCTTTTTCACTGTCACGGAGGAGGACGACCGGCCCACCTTGATATTGAAGAGATGAAAAAAAAGATTGAAATAAAGACTAATTAAAATTTTTTTTTATAAAAAGCTAAAATTTTAACCACTTAAAGAACACTAAATACAAAGTTCTTGGACTCTGTAAAGACAAGACAGGTGGATAATGGATCCAAATTAAAGGCTCATACTCCTCTGTCACTGGCCTTCTTTTTCGATGATGCCATTCCTGACCAGTCAGTGCTCCAATCATCGGGCTCTGCATGAGATTTCTCTGGCTCCTTTGAGGCAAAAAAAATCAACAATTCATGAGATTTGAAATTACAGTTATGTATTAACATAATCACACATACATGTGTGTCTAAATAATAATTAGTAATTTTCTTGTTCAGTGAAAAGTGGTGAAATCAGACCTCCAAACTTCCCCAGTCCTCCTCGTCATCCCAGCGGTCCCCTTTTGGCTCATCATCATTGTCCGTTACTTCAAGAGTCTGTGATTGGTTGGCACTACTGGAGGCAGCATGGTGACTCAGAGAGGCTTGCGGAGCGTTATCTTCAGAACCTGAGATAGAAAGAAAAACAAGAGATAAGGTTTTAGACAGCATTACTAAGACTTCATCAGTCCTGGTTAAATAATACCTGGATTAGACCAAAATAAGGACACACTGAGTGAAAACACCCTTTTATCCATGACTTCTAGTTAATCAAATTTGATAACTCTACCAGGTGCAGGTGCTGCATCTGTGGCACTAGTAGGGCTGGTGGCGGGCCCGCTGCCCTCAGCTGCTGCACCCCCTTCTGTCCCTGGAGCGTTGCGGATCAACTTAGACGTTAGTGAAGACATGCCAGTCACGGCCCAGCCGGCCCAGCTAGAGGAGGCACCTGCAGCCTGAGCACATGACGATACATCCTTCTCTGCAGGACGGACAAGAGCAATCATTTCAAGTTTTTAGTTTTAGAATTTAAGAAATATAACTGACAGAAATTTCTATACTTGAGGTAGTTGCAGAAGTATTTGCTTTCCTTTCCCCAGAAACAGAGCAAGGTAAACAAAAAGGTAAAATGTAATCATTGGTTTCCTTGCTGAATGAGGCATTAAAACAGACAGCAGACT